CTGCATGTTTATCTGCTGGCTGTTGGAGTCTGCAGCAGCACAGCATTGAAGGTATCCAGAGTCGCAGGGCAGGCAGTGACCAACCCCTCACTGGTCTGGGTGGAACCCCAAATTGTCACAGGAGATTGGCTGTTATTGCTGTCTACTATGAGCAGTGCTAGTTGATTTATTTATACACCCCTTAATGTTTATCATTAATAAATATATGCAACGGGCCTGCCTCCCTGTCCACTTCCTGGTTTCTGTTGAGTGGATGCATTTGACACAGTTCAGGAATTTTAAGGATCTTTACACCTTCTCCATGCTGCTCTCAGCCCAATTCAATGGACATTCCCTATAGCTGTACTTTTTTATTCCTGGGGAATTACCTCTTTTGGGATTTTGCAGCATGGAAATGTGGAATTCGCCTTGGAAAAGAGGTCATCTTGCATCTCTGAAAGGGAAAGTCCACTAGTCCACTAGGTAAGATTTCCAGGAGACCTTCAACACAAAAACATGGAACAGACTGTTGAAGTCCTTCTTGACTGGATGCAAGGCCCATTTCTCTCTCCCGGCTTATTACCAGCAATCACTGATTCCAGTCTTGCTGGTTTGTCTCATCCACAATCGCTTATCAAATGCAATTCAATGCTGTTAGAAGATGGGAGGAGGGAGCAGTTGTTATTGGGTGGATCCTACTGCAGTGTGCACTGGGCATTGCTTGTCTGGCCAAGAATTGCAATCATTTAATTAGGAACAAATCTCTGAACTGACAGCACTAAGCAAGCAGACAGGGAGGCAGAAGGGCAGACAAGAAGAGAGGCTAAAAACAGAGCCTCACCCTAGTGGCCTCTGCCTCTAGCAAGGCCCTGTCACAGAAAGCAGCAGTGGCAGGGAGGGGAAGAGAAGAAAGGGATTTCAGCATGGGCGGCTGGTGAACCAGCCGTTGGGGGCGGCTAACCCCCAGCCCCTCCCCTTCTGCCTGAGGCCCTGCCTCTCTTCCTCCCCTTTTGCCCCTTCCTCCCCCACAGGAGCCCCGAGCAACCCCACCACAGCTGACAGTCTCCCCCACCCCACCCCACCCCAGCCCAGGGCCATCCGAGCTCCCCCAGCCCTGGAGTGCCATGTGACTGGGCATAGGGTTGCCACCATTCTAATTGCACAAAACCAAACATGCCTGCTCCGCCCCTTCCCTGAGGCCACACCCCCTTCCTCATCCTTTCCCTGAGACCCCACCCTCCACTCACTACATTCCTTCTCCCTCGGTGGCTTGCTCTCCCCCACCCTCACTCACTTTCACTAGGCTGGAGCAGGGAGTTGGGGTGAGGGCTCTAACTGGGGATGTGGGCTCCGGGGTGGGACCAGAAATGAGGGCTTCAGGTGCAGAAGGGGGCTCCAGGCTGGGGCAGGGAGTTGGTGAGTGGGAGGGGGTGAGGGCTCTGGCTGGGGGTGCAAGCTCTGGGGTGGGGCTGGGGATGAGGGGTTTGGGTTACAGGAGGGGGCTCCAGGCTGTGAGGTGGGGCTGAGGGATTTGGAATGTGGGAGGGCGCTGTGGGTTGAGGCAGGGGATTGGGGCGTGGGAGGGGGTACGGGCAGTGATGAGCTGCCAGAAGCTGAAGATCCAGTTCCTTCAGTCGCTCCGGGTCTTCGGCGGCAGGTTCTTCACTTGCTCCGGGTCTTCGGCGGCACTGAAGGATCTGCCGCCGAAGTGCCGCCGAACACCCAGAACGAGTGAAGGGCCCGCCGCCGAAATGCTGCCAAAGGCGCACAGTGTCACCAGGTGAGTACAAATTCACAGCGGGAGCCGCGAGCTGGGGCGGGATGGGCAGGACAGGAGTTTGCCCACCCCTTTAACAACCGGTTCTCAACCGGCTGCAAAATTTAACAACCGGTTCGCGCAAACTGTTGCAAACCGGCTCCAGCTAACCCCTGGATATGGGCTCTGGGCTGCAGGTGCGGGCTCTGGGGTGGGGCCGGGAATGCGGGATTCGGAGTGCAGCAGGGGGCTGTGGGTTGAGGCAGCGGGTTGGGGTGCAGAGGGAGTGAGGGATCTGGCTGGGGGTACAGGCTCTGGGGTGGGGCCAGGGATGAGGCATTTGGGGTGCAAGAGGGGGCTTCAGGTTTGGGGGGGCTCAGGGCTGGGGAGGAGGATAGGGCTCGGGGTTAGGGTGTGGGCTTACCTTGGGCGGCTCCTGGTCAGTGGGGCTAAGGCAGGCTCCCTGACTGTCCTGGCTCCGTGCTGCGCCCTGGAAATGGCCAGTAGGTCCGGCTCCTAGGCAGCGGGGCAGGAGGCTCCGCGCGCTGCTCTCACCCGCAGGCACCGCCCTCCCAGGTCCCATTGGCTGTGGTTCCCAGCCAATGGGAATCTGGAGCCAGTGTTTGGGATGGTGTGTGGAGTGTGTGGAGCCCCATGGCCCCCTCACCTAGGAGCCGGACCTGCTGGCCACTTCAGAGGTGCAGCGCAGTGCCAGGACAGGTAGGGACTAGCGTGACTTAGACCCGCAGCACCGCTGACTGGACTTTTAATGGCCCGGTCGGCAGTGGTGACCGGAACCACCAGGATCCCTTTTCTCCTGGGCATTCCAGTCGAAAACTGGATGCCTGGAACCCGAGCCGGGCAACACGGCTGCAGAGCCTCCAGCCTCGGAGCACGGGGCAGGTGGTGCCGCCCCAGCCCCAGCCCCAGCCAGCCTGGACCACGGAAGAGGAGGTCTGGGGGTAGGGTGTGGGTGAGGCCACACCAGACTGGTTGGGGAAGTTCAGCCTCCCCAGCCTATAGTACCCACTGCCCATGGATTTCAGAGTTCTAGGGCTGCTTGTCCTAATGCAAGCTGAGGGGAGGAGTGGCTCAAACTGAGAGAGTAAAATGGCAACTCAGTGACAATGACTGAAAGTTCAGGCTTTGGAAATCCTTCACACCACAAGATCAACCGGGGAAAGTTTATCAATGCTCATTGTTAGGTGACAGCGAATATTTTGATCTGGGTCTCCCTTAAACGTGTTTATTGTTAGACAACCTTCAGACTAAGTCCTTCTCTCTGAGGAAAAGGCAGAGCAACAGCTGGAGACAGCCAGACAGCTCATCTGTTACAGCAGCTGAGGGCCTGGAAAGGACCAGCTCTATTCAATCCTGCCTTCCGATGGAAATTATTGTGGTTGATGATCTGCAGCAAGAGCCCTTGTTTTGGGCCACTAGCACAATAGCTAGTGGCTGCTGCTTTCTCCCACTCAAGACAGTTTCTGAGGTATTTCAAAGTGCCTCACCCTCAAACAGGAACGCAGGGCATGCTAAAAGCAATCAGCAATCCATCAACTTCCATACTCGGTCTCTGGAGAAATAACAGCTCACACTCACACAATGAGACACTTGAACTTGCAGGATGCGCCCCTCTGCAATGGGCTGTTATCTGGGCTATAATTTCACTCTTGTTGAGACCTGACACTATTTCAGTTTGGCAGCTGCATCAAGGAAACAAATGTGGTAGCAAATAAAACTGACTTGGGCAAAACCCAAAGGGTTCCAATGGCCAGTCTGCCCTTTCCCTCCCCACCAGCACACACCATTTTGTACTCTGCTGCTGTCTAAGTGAGATCAGGGCTTGTTCATACAGGAAAGTGTTACCAGTTATTCCATGTAATTACAATGGTATCATTAAACCACTACAGTATTTCAGGTTTCAGAGAAGCAGCTGTGTTAGTCTGTATTCGCAAAAAGAAAAGGAGTACTAGTGGCACCTTATAGACTAACAAATTTATTTGAGCATAAGCTTTCATGAGCTCCAACTCACTTCATCGGATGCATTCAGTGGAATATTCAGGAGTGCAGGAGGAGGCTGTGGGTTGAGGCAGTGGGTTGGGGTGCAGAGGGGGAATATTCAGCCCTCACCTTACTTTATAACTTTTCCCCTGAATGCATCCGATGAAGTGAGCTGTAGCTCATGATAGCTTATGCTCAAATAAATTTGTTAGTCTCTAAGGTGCCACAAGTACTCCTTTTCTTTTTATAGTATTTCAGTATTACTTCCCGTGTGGACACCTTTATTCCAGAATAAGAGTGGCTTTTTCAGCTTAGTTTAAACTGCTTCCAAAATGACAAACTAAACTGAAAAGGGCCCTTTTATACTAAAATAAGTGTCCACCTGGGGGGAGAGGGGGCTCTACCAGTTAAAGTTCTCACCTTACTTTATAACTTTCCTGTGTATACAAGACCTAACTAGCTGCAAATCACCTCAATCCAGTGTGTATCTGTAGAGAAATCCCCTCCCTCCCCTTTGATTAAAGCACATCCCTTGGTCCCTTTGTGTGACAAACCTCTTTCAGCCATAGCCAGCAGATTAGAATCCCCCCGAAGCCAACCTACCCATGCTGCTCCTATGTGATCTGCACTGACCCCTCTAAGCAAGGAAAAGCTTTCCCTTCCCCTACTGTGCTATTGGCCTGAGGAGCTGATCCTGGTCTCCTCCATAGTAGTGGCAAGCTGTAACCATAGCATTTCTGAACTGCCCCCACACCGCACATGGCTCTGCCACCACAGAGACAGAGTCATCCTTCCCTTTGACCTATTTGTGGGCAATGAATGAGCACAGCTCAGGATTAAGGTCTTCCCCTTAAGAGGTGCAACATCCTTGTGATGGGTTTCCCCTGGGCTGCCACTTGGAATTGGGGTACCACTGAGCCCGCTTGTCCCACCAGCCTGGGCTCCCTTCATATTGTATTGCTGAGACAAATCAGACAAGCCCTCAGGCTTTACCAGCACACAAACAGGTAGGAACACACCCAGCTGCAGTTTCACACAGATGCAGAGATCAGCTCTGCATGAGAAAGCTCAGTGAAAGAATTGCCCAGCACTCAAGTGCACACCCCCTCTGGGGTGTAAACCCAAAATTGTATCATCTTCTGAGGCACAGAGAACTATGCAGCATAAGCTCATTGAAATCCGTCCCCTTCCTCAACGTGGAGGAAGATATGCACAGCTTTTTCCCCCCCCTCCCCGTTATGAATTCCACAAAGTGGTTTTAGAGAAAACAAAAACAAGTTTATTAACTACAAAAGATAAATTTTAAGTGATAGCAAACAGATCAAAGCAGATTATCTAGCAAATGAAACAAACACACAAGTTAAGCTTAATATACTAAAGAAATGGTTATAACTAGCAAATTCTCACCCTAAATGTTGTTTTAGGCAGATTGCAGAGATTCTTGAAGGCAAGCTGCTCTCGCTTGCAGCTTAAAACTCCAGGTATTTCTTTCACAGACAAAACACCCTCCAGCCTAGGTTCAATCCTTTCTTCCCCAGTTCAGTCTTAGATGTTTACAGCAGTCATCTTGGGCAGGCAGACGGTGAAGAAGGAACCACGATTATGTCACTCCCTGGCCTTAAATAGGTTTTACATATGGCAAAAGGAATCCTTTGTCTTCCAGTGTGATTCCCACCCCCCACCCCGGTCAGTGGAAAAGTACTAATTTTATCATGGAGTCCAATATCAGATGATATGATCACATGGCCCTGCAGCCATAACTCAAAGTCTATTTACAGTGTACACAGGAAGGCTTTCCAGGAAGGTGGGAGATCAGCATCTTCAAAGACCTATTGTTTTTCCTGATGGCCCTTTCCAGCCAGCAATCTAGACTGCTTGTATTCTGTCCAGTGGGCGTTCACCAGGTGTAAACACATTTGTAATAGGTGCATCAACAATATTCCTAACTTCAGATACCAAAATGATTCATGCATACAAATATGATAATCATATTCAGTAAATCATAACCTTTCCAATGATATCTCACACGACCCATCTTGCATATAATACATCTTAGATATGCCATAATCATACTATAACAATATTTCTCTGAAGAACATGGGAATTAGTGTCACAATCCCAATCCCCCTTTGTCAAGAAGCAGGGAGGTGGAATTGCTTTCTGCTTCTGCTGTAGGGTCAAATCCTGCTCACATGGAAGTCAATGGCAAGACTCCTCCTGAATTCACTGCAGCAATTCACTGAATTCACTGCCTTAGGCTATGTCTACGCTGGCAATTGAACGACAAAACTTTTGCCTTTCAGAGGCGTCCTCCCACCCCCACCCCCACCCTGAAAAGACAAAAGTTTTGCCACGACAAGTGCCAGTGTGAATAGTGCATTGTTGTCAGATGCACTCTCCTGCTGACAACGCAAACTCCACTCGTTGGGGGTGGAAGTTTTATGTCGGCAGGAGAACAGACGAACAGTGGCTACACTGCATGACTTTTAGCAGCACAGCTGTAGCAACAAAAGCTGGGTAGTGTAGACATAGTCTTAGTCCCTCATCCTTGTGGGCTCAGCACAGAGAACAGCATTTTTTTAAAGATCAGGAAGTGACACTGACTTCGTATCCTTCAGGAGAGGCAATCTTTTACTTCCTCAGTAATGTGGAGGTCACACACCCTAACACAGGAACAGTACACCCCCTGCCACCTCCTCATCTACGTGCTTGTAACTAATCGAGTCAGTTAATCCAGATCAGCTTTGCTGCCTGAACCGTAACTGTAGTGCAGTGGATTTCCCTGTGACTGTTGTTTGGGTGGGTGGACAGCAGGGAGAGAAGAGACTGTTTAGCAGCCAAAGAGTCAAGTTACTCTCTTCCTTCTAAGCCCTGGTCTACACTAGGACTTTAGGTCGAATTTAGCAGTGTTAAATCGATTTAAACCTGCACCTGTCCACACAATGAAGCCCTTTATTTCGACTTAAAGGGCTCTTAAAATCGATTTCCTTACTCCACCCCTGACAAGTGGATTAGCGCTTAAATCGACATTGCCGGCTCGAATTTGGGGTACTGTGGACACAATTCGATGGTATTGGCCTCCGGGAGCTATCCCAGAGTGCTCCATTCTGACCGCTCTGGACAGCGCTCTCAACTCAGATGCACTGGCCAGGTAGACAGGAAAAGAACCGCGAACTTTTGAATCTCATTTCCTGTTTGGCCAGCGTGGCAAGCTGCAGATGACCATGCAGAGCTCATCAGCACAGGTGACCATGATGGAGTCCCAGAATCGCAAAAGAGCTCCAGCATGGACCGAACGGGAGGTACGGGATCTGATCGCTGTTTGGGGAGAGGAATCCGTGCTATCAGAACTCCGTTCCAGTTTTCGAAATGCCAAAACCTTTCTGAAAATCTCCCAGGGCATGAAGGACAGAGGCCATAACAGGGACCCGAAGCAGTGCCGCGTGAAACTGAAGGAGCTGAGGCAAGCCTACCAGAAAACCAGAGAGGCGAACAGCCGCTCTGGGTCAGAGCCCAAACATGCCGCTTCTATGATGAGCTGCATGCCATTTTAGGGGGTTCAGCCACCACTACCCCAGCCGTGTTGTTTGACTCCTTCAATGGAGATGGAGGCAATACGGAAGTAGGTTTTGGGGACGAAGAAGATGATGAGGAGGAGGTTGTAGATAGCTCACAGCAAGCAAGCGGAGAAACCGGTTTTCCCGACAGCCAGGAACTGTTTCTCACCCTAGACCTGGAGCCAGTACCCCCCGAACCCACCCAAGGCTGCCTCCTGGACTCAGCAGGCGGAGAAGGGACCTCTGGTGAGTGTACCTTTTAAAATGCTATACATGGTTTAAAAGCAAGCATGTGAAAGGATTACTTTGCCCTGGCATTTGCGGTTCTGCCTTTGCAAAAGGTTTCTGGGGAGGGCAGCCTTATTTCGTCCTTCATGGTAGGACACTTTACCACTCCAGGCCAGCAACACGTACTCGGGAATCACTGTAGAACAAAGCATTGCAGTGTATGTTTGCTGGCATTCAACCAAAATCCGTTCACGCGGTGGGAGGAGGCAAAATGCGACCTTGTAACGAAAGCACATGTGCTATGTATGTAATGTTAACAGCAAGGTTTACCCTGAAAGAGTGTAGCCACTGTTTTATAAAATGTGTCTTTTTAAATACCGCTGTCCCTTTTTTTTTCTCCACCAGCTGCATGTGTTTCAATGATCACAGGATCTTCTCCTTCCCAGAGGCTAGTGAAGCTTAGAAAGAAAAAAAAAACGCACTCGCGATGAAATGTTCTCCGAGCTCATGCTGTCCTCCCACACTGACAGAGCACAGACGAATGCGTGGAGGCAAATAATGTCAGAGTGCAGGAAAGCACAAAATGACTGGGAGGAGAGGTGGAGGGCTGAAGAGAGTAAGTGGCGGGCTGAAGACAGGGCTGAAGCTCAAAGGTGGCGGCAGCGTGATGAGAGGAGGCAGGATTCAATGCTGAGGCTGCTGCAGGACCAAACCAGTATGCTCCAGTGTATGGTTGAGCTGCAGCAAAGGCAGCTGGAGCACAGACTGCCACTGCAGCCCCTCTGTAACCAACCGCCCTCCTCCCCAAGTTCCATAGCCTCCACACCCAGACGCCCAAGAACGCGGTGGGGGGGCCTCCGGCCAACCAGCCACTCCACCACAGAGGATTGCCCAAAAAAAAGAAGGCTGTCATTCAATAAATTTTAAAGTTGTAAACTTTTAAAGTGCTGTGCTTAAAGTGCTGTGTGGCATTTTCCTTCCCTCCTCCACCACCCCTCCTGGGATACCTTGGTAGTCATCCCCCTATTTGTGTGATGAATGAATAACGAATGCATGAATGTGAAGCAACAATGACTTTATTGCCTCTGCAAGCAATGATTAAAGGGAGGAGGGGAGGGTGGTTAGCTTACAGGGAAGTAGAGTGAACCAAGGGGCGGGGGGGTTCATCAAGGAGAAACAAACAGAACTTTCACACCGTAGCCTGGCCAGTCATGAAACTGTTTTTCAAAGCTTCTCTGATGCGTACCGCGCCCTCCTGTGCTCTTCTAACCGCCCTGGTGTCTGGCTGCGCGTAACCAGCAGCCAGGCGATTTGCCTCAACCTCCCACCCCGCCATAAACGTCTCCCCCTTACTCTCACAGATATTGTGGAGCACACAGCAAGCAGTAATAACAGTGGGAATATTGGTTTCGCTGAGGTCTAAGCGAGTCAGTAAACTGCGCCAGCGCGCCTTTAAACGTCCAAATGCACATTCTACCACCATTCTGCACTTGCTCAGCCTGTAGTTGAACAGCTCCTGACCACTGTCCAGGCTGCCTGTGTATGGCTTCATGAGCCATGGCATTAAGGGGTAGGCTGGGTCCCCAAGGATACATATAGGCATTTCAACATCCCCAACAGTTATTTTCTGGTCTGGGAAGAAAGTCCCTTCCTGCAGCTTTTGAAACAGACCAGAGTTCCTGAAGATGCGAGCATCATGCACCTTTCCCGGCCATCCCACGTTGATGTTGGTGAAACGTCCCTTGTGATCCACCAGAGCTTGCAGCACTATCGAAAAGTACCCCTTGCGGTTTATGTACTCGGCGGCTTGGTGCTCCGGTGCCAAGATAGGGATATGGGTTCCGTCTATAGCCCCACCACAGTTAGGGAATCCCATTGCAGCAAAGCCATCCACTATGACCTGCACATTTCCCAGGGTCACTACCCTTGATATCAGCAGATCTTTGATTGCGTGGGCTACTTGCATCACAGCAGCCCCCACAGTAGATTTGCCCACTCCAAATTGATTCCCAACTGACCGGTAGCTGTCTGGCGTTGCAAGCTTCCACAGGGCTATCGCCACTCGCTTCTCAACTGTGAGGGCTGCTCTCATCTTGGTATTCATGCGCTTCAGGGCAGGGGAAAGCAAGTCACAAAGTTCCATGAAAGTGCCCTTACGCATGCGAAAGTTTCGTAGCCACTGGGAATCGTCCCAGACCTGCAACACTATGCGGTCCCACCAGTCTGTGCTTGTTTCCCGAGCCCAGAATCGGCGTTCCACAGCATGAAACTGCCCCATTAGCACCATGATGCATGCATTGTCAGGGCCCATGCTTTCAGAGAAATCTGTGTCCATGTCCTGATCACTCACGGGACCGCGCTGACGTCGCCTCCTCGCCCGGTATCGCGTTGCCATGTTCTGGTGCTGCATATACTGCTGAATAATGTGTGTGGTGGTTAATGTGCTCCTAATTGCCAAAGTGAGCTGAGCGGGCTCCATGCTTGCCGTGGTATGGCGTCCGCACAGAAAAAAGGCGCGGAACGATTGTCTGCCGTTGCTCTGACGGAGGGAGGGGCAACTGACGACACAGCTTACAGGGTTGGCTTCAGGGAGCTAAAATCAACAAAGGGGGTGCCTGTACATCAAGGAGTATTTCAGGCAGGACTGCACGGAGGGTTCCAATAAGAAATGGTGCACCTAAGTTATCGTTGTTATTGGAACAAGGAGGTTAGCCTGGCCTCTGATTGATACATGGCTAGATTTACCTCGCTGCACCTTCTCTGTGAGTGACTGCAGTGTGACCTAGAGGAATGAGTCCCCTAGACAGGGGAGGAGGCAAATGAGTACAAAACAAATCTGGTCTATTTCTTGTTTTGACCCACTCCATCTATCTTTTACATCTTTGGCTGGCAGCAGACGGTGCAGAAGGACTGCATGCCATCCACATCTCATGGCTGCTCGGCAGAAGATGGTACAGTACGACTGCTAGCCATCCCCATCTCTTGCCTGCCTGGCAGAAGATGGTGCAATACGACTGCTAGCAATCCTCATCTCTTGCCTGCCTGGCAGAAGATGGTACAGTACGACTGCTAGCAGTCCGTATCGCCTGCCCGCTCACCATAAGACGGTTCAATAGGACTGACTGCAGGACTAAAGAGAATGACCTGGTCAAGTCACTCCAAATTTAGTCCCTGCGCCCATGTCTGCCCAGGCGCTCCCAGCCGACGTGGCCAGGAGCACCTCGGACACGACGAGGACGACTACCAGTCGTATTGCACCGTCTGCTGCCAGAAGGCAATGGGTTGCTGGTACTGTGCAGCAAAGCCGTACCGCGTCTGCCAGCACCCAGGAGACATAGGGTGACGGTTACCTGAGCGGGCTCCATGCTTGCTGTGGTATGGCGTCTGCACAGGTAACTCAGGAAAAAAGGCGCGAAATGATTGTCTGCCCTTGCTTTCACGGAGGGAGGGAGGGAACGGGGGCCTGACGACACGTACCCAGAACCACCCGCGACAATGTTTTAGCCCCATCAGAGTGCTCCATTGTGACTGCTCTGGACAGCACTCTCAGATGCCCGATTGTTTGCCATTGCTCTGACGCTGGGAGGGGCGCTTACAGGGTTGGCTTCAGGGAGCTAAAATCAACAAAGGGGGTGGCTTTACATCAAGGAGTATTTCAGGCAGGACTTCACGGAGGGTTCCAATAAGAAATGGTGCACCTAAGTTATTGTCCTTATTGGAGCAAGAAGGTTAGCCTGGCCTCTGATTGATACATGGCTAGATTTACCTCGCTGCACCTTCTCTGTAAGTGACTGCAGTGTGATCTAGAAGAATGAGTCCCCTAGACAGGGGAGGGGGGAAGCAAATGAGTACAAAACAAATCTGGTCTATTTCTTGTTTTGATCCACTCCATCTATCTTTTACATCTTTGGCTGGCAGCAGACGGTGCAGAAGGACTGCATGCCATCCACATCTCATGGCTGCTCGGCAGAAGATGGTACAGTACGACTGCAAGCAGTCCGTATCGCCTGCCCGCTCACCATAAGACGGTTCAATAGGACTGACTGCAGGACTAAAGAGAATGACCTGGTCAAGTCACTCCAAATTTAGTCCCTGTGCCCATGTCTGCCCAGGCGCTCCTGATCGACCTCACAGAGGCGACCAGGAGCACCTCAGACATGACGATGACGGCTACCAGTCGTACTGTACCGTCTGCTGCCACAAGGCAAGGGGTTGCTGCTACTGTGTAGCAATGCCGTACCGCGTCTGCCAGCACCCAGGAGACATAGGGTGACGGTTACCTGAGCGGGCTCCATGCTTGCCATGGTATGGCGTCTGCACAGGTAACTCAGGAAAAAAGGCGCGAAATGATTGTCTGCCCTTGCTTTCACGGGGGGAGGGAGGGAACGGGGGGCTGACGATATGTACCCAGAACCACCCGCGACAATGTTTTAGCCCCATCAGGCATTGGGATCTCAACCCAGAATTCCAATGGGCAGCGGAGACTGCGGGAACTGTGGGATAGCTACCCACAGTGCAACGCTCCGGAAGTCGACGCTTGCCTCGGTACTGTGGAAGCGCTCCGCCGAGTTAATGCACTTAATGCACTTAGAGCATTTTCTGTGGGGACACACACACTCGAATTTATAAAACCGATTTCTAAAAAACCGACTTCTATAAATTCGACCTTATTCCGTAGTGTAGACATACCCTAAGACTCTAGTGACATGAATAGGATGGGGGGATGTCAAAGGATACCCCTTCCCCCAAGAGAGAGGTTGGAGAGCGAAGGTATTAAAACAAATCTGAATAATCACACCCATTATTTAGCAAATCCACACTAGATCAATCCAGACCATGCTGGTACTGTGCCCAGAAGTCAGTGAGCCTACAAAGACACAGGCATTACCATAGGCCATTTGTTTTTCTCCTTTTTTGATATTACTCACACCAATCAAAGGTAGAATGGGTGCAAGAAGAAAGTTATTCCATGCCTTCACATCTGTGTATGCCTCAGGATTTCGTGCCTCCTAGGAGAGCACCGTTTGTGTTCAGGGAAGTAAAGTGAGAATATTGTCTCCTCCATACACCTTATATGATAAAATGATAAGAGAGGGATTTAAGAGTGCAATCATGCCCAGAGCTGGTGATAGCCAGGCTGTAAGGTGAGTGGAAGAAACAGAGAGAATAAGATCAAGGAATTCTAACAGGTTTGCTTAAATCCTATAAATCCTACTTAGAGAAGGAAAAACAGCTAGGTAAACTTTCATTTAATTAACACTTTCCCCACTTCGCTATTATGAAGGTACAGCACTCTTGAGAAAGGCTGTGGTGCTAAATGGAGCAGCAGAATCTAACAGGTACATCCAGCTTCCAAGATCCAGCAATATCACCATGTACATCATCCAGCAGTGCTCCCACAGAACTCATTAAGAGGAGACAATTATCCTCTGCACAGTTGCACACAGTAAGCATCCCAGGGACTGTTTCTGTTAGTGAGCGAGTAAATGTCTCAACACCCCAGACTCTCTGCTTAATTACAAGTGTAATAGTCAGACAGAGAGTGATCATAGCAGCTATAACTGCCCAGGACACAGTCAGCATCCACACTTAATGACCACAGCATGAAATCCAGAGTCAAGTGAACTGTCAAAGTAGTTTTTAAACAAACAAGTATTGTAATGCCTAAGTGCATTAATGGAAAAGAAAAAAAACAACAGAGCACATTCAGTGCTTTAGCAACTGTAAGACCCAAGTATGGCATACTATGGCTATGGTAAAGATATAGCAGAGATTTAAATGATCAGAGAAGGCAACTAAATCAGTGAGAAGCACTGCATAATTTACTAATGCGACTGTAAAATCGGGGATTAGTTAGCATGGAACATACAGTTGAAGGTTGAAGAAAAAAAATGGATAGTTCCCTCTTTTTCTCCCTATCCTATAATAAGACTATTTGTTGATGTTCATATCAGATACATATAGAACAAGATACTTGTGTCTCCACCTGAGTAAGGGGCATGAGGCTATGCTCAATGCTAAAGGTTTTAGAGTACAGAATAGACAGAGCAGTCAGTGGGAGAGGTGATCTTAGAATTCACGGCCTCCTTGGTCCCAGCTTAGTGCATATTCTATTTAACCAAAGGGTATTTGGCAAGTCTCTCATCCACATCATCCGGCTTGGCAGTACTGTGGGCCAAGGAGACCAACCCTGAAATGCAGAATGCACCACAAAATCCAGGCCCTTATATGCAGAACTTCCTCCCTGGACCAACAGGTAGGGACATCATCCTCTTTCTCTTTCAGGTTCCTCTTCAAGACCCATGATGCCACCAAGAAATGTCTGCCATCTTATATTGGCTAGGTTGTGGGACAATCCACTGCAACCAATGCTCATGAATTTATAGTTAAAGAAAACCACAGATAATTTGGAACTATCAAATTGAACAGACTGGGAATTGGGGACCTTTTTCAATTCCTCACTTTCCCGTGTTGTGTCATCTTTGATAAGTCACTTTGTCATTCTGTTCTTGCTTCCTCTCCCACCACTTGTTTTGTCCTGTCCACGTAGAGCATAAGCTGATTGGGGCAGGAACTGTCTGTAAGTAAACTGTATAGCACAACAGGGATCCGATCTTGATTGGGGCCTCTAGGCACTACTGTAATACAAGTAACAGAAACGAATCCAGGTAACATTATCTTATTACTGTTACACCCATGCCATGCCATGCGCCCCTCCCTCTTTCTATTGTCCACTAAGGCCATGTCTATACATACAGCGCTGCAGCGACCCAGTTGTACTGACACAACTGCGTGACTGCAGCGCGTCTGGTGAAGACGCTCTATGTTGATGGGAGAGCACTCTCTCATCGGCATAAAAAAACACCCCACCTCTGTGAGCGGCAGAAGCTATGTCTGTGGGAGAAGCTCTCCTGCCGCCACAGCACTGTGCATATGAGCACTTATGTTGGTGTAACTTATGTTGCTCAGGGGGGTGGTTTACTCACACCCCTGAGTGATATAAGTTATGTCAACTATAATAAGCTATCCAAGCCAGGTAGTGGGTCTTCTTGTGTGATGTTACCGTAGTACAGCTAAGGAGAACAGAGCATGGCAAACTCTTTGTCCGTCCCCCCCGCCCCGAAAAGCGGGTGGTCTAAACTAGAAGTGCTTTGGAGGAAGTCACATTTGATATCTCCCCCACCAATGTATTCTGTGGTAAAAAGGATGCTACTCTGGGAGTTGGTCCTGAATTTCTACCTTTCTTGGTCATTCTTCATAGACTAATGGAAGGTCCAAAAACGTCAAGGACTAAGAGAAGAAAGATTAATACACATCTGGTGAAGCACACCTTTACCATTACAATCAATTGTAAGTTAAACTCAATTTTGGGTCAGGAACCAGCAACTCAAGTCAGGCAGGAGGCTTCCTGTAGAGGCTGCATGTGCTAACACACACAAGCACTGTTCACATCCTAGTTGTGAAAACAATTTATTTTATTCCTTATAAGGCTTTATTTCACAATGAAGCAAAACTCAAGACCACATGATGGCTGACTGAGTAACACTTAGCAAACATCCATCCTGTTATCACAAGACCCTGTGACCCCATAGAACAATCTCAGCTAATGGAGAAAGTGACCCCACCCCAAAGAAATGTTCAAGTCAAGAACCCCTGAGGAATGCTGACAGCCACCATCAGCCCCAAATGCTCACTGATCACTACTTTTAACTTCTTCTCCAAAGATGACACCAGCTTCAGCTACTGGTCTCCAGTTACTTGGGAAAAGCAAGTCTTCCTTTAAAAATCATCTGTGATATTAGGGAACCTTCTCAGTAATTTGTTCACTGTCTTTGGAGATAAGTTTCCCATCTGGCCCAGGGCCTCCTGTTTAAGTCTTTTCTTGTGCTCCACCTGAAACACAAAGAATTAACCTCTTTTATTTGCTGAAGTGATTCGTGCACATACCCCAGCAATACTTCTAATGATACAGTCATTTCAAAAGCATACCATCTGCCCACTGAGTGAGAGTTATGGTACCAATTGCCTGTATACTCCTAAGGATTGCTTTCAGAAGCCAGTGACTGCTGCCTATTTGAAATGCAGCATAGCTGAAGTTGTGTTGGTCCCAGGATCTTAGAGAGACAAGGTGGGTGAGGAAATAGCTTTTATTGGACCAAAACTGCCACAGAACTGTTTTTCAGGTGTGGGGAAAAGTACTCTGAGCATCACAGCTAAATGCAAGATGGAACAGTCTGTTTAGTGTAAATAGTTAGCATATAATCTAAGGGACCATTCAAGGTTGATTCAATGATCAGCACCCCCCACATGCACCTTTCAAGATCCATGGATCCTACACATGCCAAACACAACATGTGGTGTACCTCATCCAGTGCACTAAATGCCCCAAATAAGACCTATGTGGGTGAAACCAGAGAATCACTACACTCTCGAATGAAGTCACATAGGAAAATGATAAAAGACAAAAGCACCCCATCACCTGTGAGTGAACACCTTCCATAAAGCAATCACTCTATATCTGACCAGCGAGTCCTCACCCTCAAAGGAAACCTGCACAAACACTTTCAAAAGACGAGCCTGGGAGCTTAAATTCATAATTGCTAGACACTAAAAGTCATAGATTGAAAAGACACACTGGATTTATGGTTTATAACAGCAGTTCTCAAACTTTAGTAACCCGAGGATGCCTATTTTGATCAAAAAAATTTTCAGGGACCCCCAAAGCCCCAGCTCAGCCCCAGACCCTGCCCCCACTCCACCCCTTCCCCCAAGGCCCTTTCCCACCTCTTTCTGCCCCCTCCCCACTCCTTTTCAGCACCTCCTGCACACCAGGGAACAGTGTGCAGGAGGCAGTGGGAGGGAGGGGGAGAAGATGGGGGGGGCAGGGGAACAGTTAAACAGTGGGGGCCTGAGGACCCCCTGGAGTACCCTCGTGGACCCCAATTTGAGAAATGCTGGTTTACAACAATCTGTAACCCACTAACCCCCCTTTTAATCCTATGACTGCAGACGTGTTAATGGGCCACTCTACCTTGAATGCAAAAAAGGATGAGAAGTACTTGTGGCACTTTAGAGACTAACCAATTTATTTGAGCATAAGCTTTCGTGGGCTAAAGCCCACTTCATCGGATGCATGCAGTGGAAAATACAGTAGGAAGATATATACGCACACAGAGAACATGAAAAAATGGGGGTTGCCATACCAACTCTAACGAGAGTAATCGATTAAGGTGGGCTATTATCAGCAGGAGAGAAATAAAACCAAAACTTTTGTAGTGAAAAATGGGCCATCCTGATTATCACTACAAAAGTTTTGGGTTTTTTTCCTCCTGCTGATAATAGCCCACTTTAATCGATTACTCTCGTTAGAGTTGGTATGGCAACCCCCATTTTTTCATGTTCTCTGTGTGCGTATATATCTTCCTACTGTATTTTCCACTGCATGCATCCGATGAAGTGGGCTTTAGCCCACGAAAGCTTATGCTCAAATAAATTGGTTAGTCTCTGAAGTGCCACAAGTACTCCTTTTCTTTTTGCTGATACAGACTAACACGGCTACCACTCTGAAACCTGTCTACCTTGAATGGTTCCTCAGAATATGTGCTAATTACTTATGCTAAACAATCTTCTCCATCTTGCATTTAGCTGTGACACAGAGTACTTTTTCCACACCTGAAGAAGAGCTCTGTGTGGCTTGAAAGCGTCTCTCCCCCGAATAGAAGTTGGTCAAATAAAACATTACCTCACCCACCTCCTCTCTCATTTGAGATTATGAAGTTAAAGGGCACTGTCAACTTAAAAAAAACCCAAACATCTTTCAGTTTTTTAGTTTACTGCTGTTACAAGTAACTTCTAGGTTTACTGAAACAGTACTAGTGTGGAGTTAAAAATACTGTTCTTTGTTTTTGCAATTTGTTTACTTTGTAATTTGACAATGCTTCATATCTAGTCAGTTTCCTGTTTATGCAAGTCTTTCACACAGTGGAATAGAATGACAAAGGCAAATGTAGTACATGAAACTATTTTTAGGAGGGTTTTTTAAATTTGAAATCTAGTCAGTATTAATGTGTTCCTTTAAGTAGGAACACAGTCTTACTGTGTCTATGCTTTGCTTTACTACTTTTGGATCCTCCTCTTTCTCCAAATGTCTGTTTTCACCTCCATGGGGTCTTCATCCTGCGAAGTACTTTTTGGCTTGTTCCCCATGATCACAAGGATGGCTCTATAAGACTTCTGAATTTTCATTACCATTTTCAATACCAGAAGGTTTGGATTTCCATTGCTCTCCAGTGACAGATTAAGACCACCTATCCCACCACTAAACATGTAAGTGAATGTTTCTGAAGCCCAGGGTCAGATTGAGCAGGTACTGTCTGGTACACTTACGAACACCAGTTGTCTATCAGCTCTGGTATTTCTGAAGTATCAGAGGGGAAGCCGTATTAGTCTGTATCCACAAAAACAACGAGGAGTCCGGTGGCACCTTAAAGACTAACAGATTTATTTGGGCATAAGCCTGAATCTGAAGAAGTGGGGTTTTTTTACCCACAAAATCTTATGCCCAAATAAATCTGTTAATCTTTAAGGTGCCACCGGACTCCTCGGTATTTCTGAAGTATCTGACCTTTTTTTAAAATAAAATTTCTAAACATAACAAACCTTCCACCATAGTTTATCTGAATCTAAAGACAATTTGGGCATAATGGTTTTAATAGACATAACTGCCTTATGCATCCCAGTGGGTTGTTTACTATGAAGACAGTCAAGCAGAAAAATCCAGCTATTCTGGGATTCATGGGAAGAGCTTGGAGTCCAGTCCCACTGCCTTCTCAATCTGGCCCCTGCCTTGCACAGACATGCACCCAACTTTAG